AGGTTTTCGTTTTTTTTTGGGTGGTTTTAATGAAAAAGGGTTTTTAAAATTTCCAGGGGCCTTCTAAGGCCCGCAAAAAGGTGGGGCTCCTTACCACTTTTAAAAGAAAATTTTTTCCCCCCCAGGGCCCCCCCCCACTTGTTTTTTTGTTTTGGGTTTACCCCCAAGCCCCCCCCCTTGCAAAACTTTTCCACAACTTTTCCCCCCCCCTTCCCCAAAGCCCCCCCCTTCCCCTTTCCCCTTTAACTTCTTTTCCCCTCCCAAGTTACTTTGGATTTTTTTACAAAGAAATTTTTTTATAGCCCCTCCCCCCTCTGTTGGCCCACCCCCCCAAAAGGCAGCTTGCCCCCCCCCCCCAAAAATTCTTTGGGTAAGGCCCTCAAAAAAATTTTTTCCCAAAAGCAATTTTTTTTCCTCCCCTCTTACAAAAAAAGTCCTCTTCTAATACTTTCCTTGACAATAAGTCGACCATTTCCACCTCTGTAAAAAGCCACCATGCACATTTGGAAAGTTTGTTACTAGTCTAGGTCAAGAATTGGAATCTATTATCTCTTTCCATGCCTAGTACTTAGCCAGAAAGATTAACCTGTAGCTAAAGATGTAGCTCAGTAAAAGAGCACTTGTCTAGCATGCACAAGTACCCAGAACCGATCCCCAGAACCACAAGAGGGGGGAAAAAAAAAAAAAAAAACTTCTCTGGCACAGAAATCCTGAAGACCAGAAGACAATAAAATTAACATTTAAAATAAATGAAGTAGTCAGTTTACAGATAAATTCTTAAAAAGTAGGTGGCTCTTTAAACTTTTCTATAACTAAATCAAACACCTGTTACTTTCCACATTGTCAACGCAAGTAACTAACAAGTTTCTCAGAAGAGACATGAAGTATTACATGTACCATAAAATTTATACCACGTTTTCAAACTCTTGGTCATTAATATACCAAAAGAATTAATTTTCCAACAAAAGCATATTCTCCATTTTCCAAACAGAGATTAATTTCGGAATATAGATTTACCCTCTAAGCAGATGTCATGGACATTCAAGTTTAATTATTTAAAAAAAAAAAAAAAATCAAATGAAAGACAAAATTCCTTTCCTTGCTTCTGCCAAACAACTATTTTCAAAATTCACCTCAGAAACATGACTTCCCAGTAACAAAAATGATAGTAATTTTAATTTTTAAAAAGCCTGCCACATAATGCAGGATAGACTCTCTCCCTTCACAAATAACAGAAAATTACCATGCTTATCTAGAGAGCCTTCTGCACCCCTACTACAATGTTATCCTTGGAAATCTACTTCACATGGAAAAGCATCTCCATCACGTAAAGCATCAAAGATCAGTATGGCCAGTAATTACATTCCCCAGTTGTCATTTTTAACTTTCTCTTTATTGCAATGAAATTAGACAGCCTGTCCTGAGACCATTAATTATAAATACTCTGAAAGAATTCTTTTCCTTTATCTTTCATTTAAACTAATAGCTGTAATAATGGAAGGTACATCTTAATGAAAAGTTTCTACAATTATCACTGTCTTATAGACAGACACAAAAACATACTGAGTTCAGCTACATTACTGTGTTCTCTGAATGTGGCTATCAAATCAGGTCCATTTTTAGTTTGCCCTGATCAGCCTACACATAATGTCAAGAAAAGCATAAACAGAACTAAGGGACCCACAGTTTCAAAACTTCAAATAATCTGAATAAAGATTTTTAAAAATGGTTTCCCAAATTATGGTGAAATCTCAATTGTGTGTATCTGTACTCAAATATATTCACCTAGTATGTTTTGAAAATTAATGCAAACCAAATAAACAGATTTCTAACACCCACCAAGAAGTACTTCTTGCTCTTTGGGGTATATTCTGGATCCCATTCCTCTTCCTTCGGTCTCTTTTGAAAAGTGGTATTTGAGTTGTTTGGACCAGTATTTGTCCCAGCAAAAACTCCTCTGGCTCTTCCTCTGCCTCTAATTCGAAACTGATTAACATTAACAAAGTTGTTTAGTAATGCAATCAAAGGTATTTGGTTACATGCAAACTCTTAACTTTACTGCAGTAACAACAACAAAAAAATATGCCCTAATTTCCTATCTAAATCTCAATCTCATAGCCACTGAGGATGATAAGGATGGCCATTTTATACCATAGGCAAAAAATTCTGCTAATCAAACCCAGTTAAAAGACTGTACTTTCATGGCCTGAAGTGATATTTTTAAATACGTATTTCCCCTTTTACTAGCCTAAAGAGTTATCTAATTCCTTTGAATTATCACAGGAACCCCAAGTGTTCAACCACATCTATCACCATTTAAAAAAATTTTTTCTCTTTCCCAAATAACCAAATTAATGAAACCTACCAATACCCAACTAGGTATAGATGCAGGTACAAATTTGAATGTAGAATTAAAAAGGCAAGAAGATGCTCTATTTTGAAGTCATTAAATAATTGTAGAGACTTTTAAACAAAACACGGGGATAATGTATGCTATGTAGAAAATGTTGTATGATTCCTATGATACACACAAGCAAGGACTTGGAAGAAAACAGGCAAAAGTGAAATTAACTATAAAACACAAAGGAACACAGAGTTTTTGGTAAATTTTTTTAAAGGTAGCTTTTCAAAATACGAGCCAAATCAACTCTTTCCTTGACTCTTGGGTCTTTAAGGACTATGTATGCTAACTGACCTGGAAGTCAAGAAAACTATCTACTTAACACAGATGCTTCAAGTTCTCAAAATGACAACTCTCACTGAAGACAATACCTCAAATACCATTTCACTTCTCAAGACTGAAAATGAATTTAGAAACAATGACTCCCATGAAGGATAATCTCTAGATCATGTATTTGACTTTCCCTATGTACAGTATTCTGAAGTAAAATTCTACCAAATGATCACATATAACTTTAATTACTTACAAAGGTTCCTCGTGGCCTGCTAACTCCCGCAAAGCCCGAATATTCTTTCAGCTCATGGTGAGCTTTAAATTCTTCTTCTCTTTCCTTCTTACCCTCCTTTTCTTCTCGAGAACTGGGAGAAGAAGGTGATGCTGAAGAGGATGATGATCGAGAATGATCTTGGTCTCTACTTTTATGTTTACTGCAAAATAAAGAAAAAAATGTGCTATTTTTAAAAAGACAAAGAACCCTGTTGAGACTTATAACGAGGAATTATTTTTAAGTAAAAAAAAAACTATCCCCTATTAAAATTATTTCATAAGTAAAATAACTGGGTGCTAAACTTAGACACAGTCTGTTTCCATTCTCCTTCAATGTTTGTTTTACATCACTACTAGCAAACATGCTACATAGCCTGCCAGTCAGAAACTAAGTCTGTAAACTTCAAGAATGAGGTTCTTCAATATTTTTAAGTTTTTAGTCATTTTAATGAAAGGAAAAGAAGTAGGGAAAAGAATGTTCTTAAGGCCAACTTTCAAAATGACTGCAGTTTGCACACCCTGAGTGAGAACAGTTTGTATGATTTGGGCCATTAACACCATTATAGAAATAAAAAGCATATGACATTACAAATACCAGTTATAAATTTAAAACACAAGTAAAATCCACCATTTACCTAATAAACCGCAAGAAAAACGATTATCTCTAATACTTCGTATTCCTATTTATTTCACTCTATGATGATCAAATTTATATGATTCTAATGCAACACCCAAAAAGGTCATACCTGCAGTAACTCTTACCACTGCTAACAGTATCCATGGTAACATTACTTTGAAAGACTACTACACATCACTATTTCTAGTCCTTCCTCCCCCCCTTCTCTCCCATGTTAAACCACTAGATATCAGTTTAAAATTCTTGTACTCTGGGTGTTATGAGTTGAAAAAGTGCGGAATCAAGCATAACGAACCAAAGTTCTTACACAAACTGTTTCTAGAAATGCACTGCATTGAAGTCCAACCTCCTGATGTAGCCTGGATAATAGGACACATTAATTTGTCATTTTTTTTTTCAGTGTTAGCTTGCTATTCCAAAGTTTTTGTCCTCATCCACCATAAGCCGTGTAAAAGACAAATACATTTTTGCTGTAAAACAAATAATTTTAATTGTTTAAATTTAAACATTCGATTACACAGTCAAAGTTGAAAGCAATTAAGCTGATAATTATTAAAGGCTAATTAGAAGCTAAAACCTAACTTAGACAATTTTAACAATTACCTGTCATCTTTGTAAGATTTGTATTCCTTGTAATCTTTTGGAGTTTTTTCTTGCTTTCTTGATCCACTGGATTCCCTGGAGCCCTTGGAATCCCCTCGTTCTTTACTTCTTTCTTTTCTACGGCGATCAATGTCATGCCGAAGATCAGCAGAATCACACCTTAATTTTTTATCTCCCTATAAAACACATGTAAAATATAGATTTCAGGAAATAGAATACAGGTATGTGGGCAAATATAGCTAGATCTATGCCAGTTTCTAAACTGGTATTTTTAACATCAAAAAAGAATGGATCATAATATAAAACCAAAATCCTGATTTAAAAAAAAAAAAAAAGGACCTGAGTACTAAGCATTTGTGTACACAAGTCAGTGGGCCTGGAGATGTTACTAAAACCTATCTTGAGTTTTATAGGCTTTATTCAAAGCAATTTATAGTAAAGTGATATAAACACTTTTCCACTGAGCATATCCTAATTTACCCCTCATCCTTCCAAATGGCTTTTGTAAAAATAGTTGAATGATACTTATAACCTGTAATTGTAATGTAGCCTTGTGCCTATAAAGTGAAAGGATTGTAAAATAATGGTTCTCATTAACTAAGCCTCACTATCATCAAGCTCTTCCCAGATTAAATTGACAAACCCAATTTAAAAAAAAAAAAAAACTTTCAAAGTAAGAACTCTGTAATTTCCATAACATGCAAGTAGAATATGATTAATCAAACTAATTGAGGTTGAACAAGGATCAAAACAAAGTCAAAAAGATATTATTCGCAATCCTGTACTCAGTATCTTGGGCCATATACTGCCCTTTTCTCAATTCAGGTATTGCAACAGACATTAGTTTAACTGGGTCACAGTTCACCTCCTTCTTGTTCCATTGCTTTTTCAAATACTATATAATTTAGGAAGATGAAAAGAGGCATCTAGGAATGAAGAGAAATTATACATCAGTAAGATGCTAAGCAATGTGGACATCCTTGCTATTATTCAACAATTACAAGTATTTATTCTGGGAAGTCTAGCTATAATATTCATAAGCATTCATAAGATTTAAAGTGTGTGTTATACACACACACACACACACCTCTAAGTGGTAAGAACTACTCACCTATTTGCTCCTAGGGTAACAAGAAAAACAATCTACACAAAAACTTCCTATTTACCTAGGTATTTCCAAGTCCACAAGAAGCAAAATGTAAGTGAACCACTTTGCAAATTGCATACACCCACACACACAAACTTCATACATTTTAATTATTCATTCAGATAAATGAAGAAAAAAATGCATATCACATGTTCATCTATCAGTTACCATCTATCAGTTATCTTCCAGATCAAAATCTGGTCTGAGTAATGAAAGGAAAAATACTTACTGTCAGAGAATGAGAACAGACTAAAAGTATTTAAGCAACACTGAACACAAGGTATTAAAGTTAAAAGGAAAAAAAAAATTCACTTCTCAAAGTCTGTTCTTCCAAAATCAGTGTCATATACAGAGATAAACTCTAAATTCCAACAATTATTAAGTTGCCCTACTAAAAATTTGTATACTACCACTGTTCCAAAACAACTCTTAGGGCTGGGACTATGGCTCAAGAGGTAAAGTGCCTGCCTAGCAAGCACAACTCCCTGAATTCAACTCTGGTACCACCAAAAAAAAAAAACAACAAACACAAACAAACAAAAAAAAAAACAGTTTTTAGTAATAAAAGTACCAATATTTCAAAACAGCCCAATTATCCTGCAAAACAGATGTATTCTTTATTCTTTTAACTATGAAAGTGACAGCTAAAGATGTTTCTTTACAAATATAATCCACACAGTATTTTCTGGCAACAAGCAGCACTTTCAAAAGCTCTCTAATCTTTCCAAAACAATAGTTGTTTCCTTTCTACAATTTCTGCACTTTCACTACTAGAAACTTTATGGCCTGTTACATAAGCTATGTCAACTCTGAATTACCAGACCATCAAGGTACCCTTAACCACTGAATTCCATTCTCACTAAGCCCTTTACCCACACCTCCCCCATGACTAATCTTTTACAGGTTCCTTTAAGTTTAAAAGGCATTTCCCAAATCCACATTTATTCCATAGTGACAGTTTGTGTTCCAAAGGTTCACTAGTAAATCAGTTCTTAGATTGTGTATTTCTTAATCCACATCAAAAAAGCCCAAACAGCATGGGAATAACTTGTTATCTGTGGAGTCTAAAGACATTACTTTAGTGTCACACAAATTCTGGCTCGCTCATCTCATAATTTCTATCTTTGCTCTTACAATCTTTGTTTACCCACTGATTCTTTAGCTTTTCTTAGGACTAATGTTTTCCTTTTCAAAAAGTACTCTTGATTTAATTTAAGATACTTTAGTATCAGCTTAACTTCTTCTAGGAAGAAACAATATTCAACAAAGAAGTTAGAATTAGAATATACCTATAAACATCCTGCCATAAGAAAACAGTATTTAGTACAATATAGTAACTAAAAGCCCAACTTCACATTAAAAAAAAAAAAGTGCAATAGAAAGCATACCTTCTGATTTTCTTCTTTAAAAACCCTCTCTTCCCCTGCTAAACGGGTATGCTTCCTCAGGGCGCTTGGAGAGATGTCAATTCTCCTTAATGTAAAATAAAGCATATTTGTAATCACATTATTAATTTTCTGGCTCAAAAGAATACACAGTACCACCCCTTGGTGTGAGAGACACTAGACAATTACTTCTCCCAATCAACTAATTTATCACAGTAAATCTATTAATCTAGTTCCTAACAGACAAGAAATACGAAATTATCCACTAAGAATGAATTAAAATGCTTTAGGTAGACTTTTATATATAAATGTATGATTATCTTTTAAAACACCAAGCTTATTTTAATCGTGAAAAATAGAAAAATGTTTTGATTGAATATTATCATTTTAAGTTATCAATCAACATGCTATTCTAACATCAATAACCTCAATAACCACATATGAAAGACTACTGGCTCCTAAAATGATTCCTTGTATTTTTCATATTCAATGGGTCTGGTTTTTTTTCTATGCCTTTCCTTTATAAGCTAGTATCAGGTAAAACCTCCTAGTGTTTCTTCAACAGTCACCACCAAAATCACATATATCAAGTACTAAACACTGAGTTAGGCACGATGCTGCAAAGTAGACATCATCCTTATTCTCTAAATGGAAAGCTCATGTCCAGGTTAATTTGTTCCTCACAATGCAATGGTGTGACAGAGCCAGGACTACAACACAACTGTCAGACATCAACATTCATGCTGTTTTCATGAAAATCTGTTCTATCTCTCACCAAGCATTTTTATTTCACAAACTTTCTGGTAGTAAATTCAAAGGTTACTCTAGGTATCCACCCCTTCAAAAAAAAAAAGAACTGACAAATAATATTTAAATTTCACAACAAAGAGTGTTAGTATTTTACGTTCTACCAGATTTAAACCAAGTAAACTGAAAATCAAAAAAGAGTAAATTATAAAATTTTCAAGACTTTAAAGTATATTTATTCAACAAACAAATGAGGGAGAAGACCAGTTTTGTATCATGATGACAGCATACTTCTTGCATAATCTTCTTTGAACAGTGCCTTCCAATCAAAAAATTTTTGTAAGTAAATCTAGTACCTGTGTATCTCAGGGCTCTTTTGCCGGGTACTATGTTCTTCAGTGGCTTTCTGATAGGAAGTAAACCGCTCGTTCAGGGTTACTGCAGCTGACTTGAAGTATTGCTCTGTTGATTTAGGAGAAATACTGCCGAATTAGGAAATTTTACTTTAAAAATGGAATTTTATTTGTGACAGGAAGTGCATGGAGCAGGTGAAAAGAAAAAACACTCAAGAAACCTAACCGAAGAGAACCAAACGTTCCAAAAACCTCCTACTTTTCAACTTCCTATATGTATCCCAACAAGTGAAAAGTTCCTCACAAGTCCCTGTCAATACTACATATAATCCAAGAACAAATAGTAGATTAAATTGAGTCTAAGTCCATTCTAATGCACTACTTCCTCAAAGAGAACAAAAAGGAACAGCAATGCATGACGTCCTCACATCTTTCTAACTGATGAATCAATGTATTTTAAGTAATGATTTACAAAGAAAAACAAAAATAAGGAAATTAACTAGCTTGAGTAAATTAATAAAATTATTTTAAGAATTATGTTAACATCAACAGAAATGGCTTTACAAAAAAAAATAAACACTGCCATTTAATTGGGAAAATATTTTTAAATCAATATACACTCACTAATTACTCCAAAACTCTGGCATATTGGCAAACCTGACATCACATTTGGTATCCTTGTTTTTCTTTAAACAATCCTTTAATTAGTAATATCAATAACTGATTAACTTTTAAACCAGTTCAAAATATGCTGTAAATGTAAAATAGACGTATATATGAAATGTTACATTATGAAGCAAGCTATCTGCTTAACAGGTCAACATACATCTGTGTCAACTTACCGCCCAATATCCAGCACATGTCTCATAACCAATCATTAAAACTTGAAATGGCCACTACAAGGGTAGTGCCTCAATCATAATTCCATGAAACCCAGGAATTTGAGCTAGCAACTCAGTTTTTATGCCATTTTTGCCAGGAAGACAGAAGATTCAACTTTGCCTGTATCTTTCAACAGCTATTTTACTTTGAAACATGGATTTTGCCATTTCAAAACATATTCCAGGACCTAGTTACAATGAAAAAGAAAACATCACTGGGCATTTTCAGCTCTATATAAAGTAAGAGCTGTTCAGATCGGTTGCACAACACCAATTATGAAACATAACTACAGTTCTTTTTTTTAAAAAAAGGAAAAAAGAAAAGGAAAAAGGAAAAAATTCATCAAAATCTGATTTCAAAATTCAACAACTGTAAAATGTGGAGATAGATCAAAAAAAGATGAAAAAAGAAAAAATGTTAATGTTTCATATTTAGGTACCACAATAATATGGTCAAACTGGTTCACAAACTTACTTATAACCAAATATCAAAACTCTTTAGATACCATGTTTTAAGTAATTCCAGCCAAAAAGAAATTCATTATCTATGGTTTTGAAATAAAGTGCATAAGGAACTGCTAAGTGACAAACGTCAGCTATTGAATTGTTCTCATAACAAACTTTTTAAAAAAGGCTTTTAAGACCAACAGCCATGGCGGTTTCTAGAAGAGAACCTGTTAAACACAAAAACAAAGTAACAAACAACAAAAACAAAACTTAACCTAATTGCCCAAAAAAATTAAAACCTAAAATCTTTGAATACTCTAACCATGAAACTAAAATTACATACTGGTGAAAATACAGTCGTATTACTTTAGTTGGAAAAAACACCCTGATATTTAGGTCTTAAAAGAAGTATCCTATACAGTCACTACTCATGTGAATCACTATCTAAATAATATGCTCGAAAATTTCTTGAACTTTTAGTCCTTTAAAAATCCTAATAATTTTCTCCTGGTTTATCATCTTAAAAAAAATTATTACAAAGAATAGCACAGAAAGATAGAAAGTTAATACTATTTTTCCAGAGGTTTCAGATTTCTTTAAAAATTAAACAGAAAATCTTAATAAACAACAGTAACAATTTCCTCACATTGTTACGAATCTATGCCAACAGTACATTATCACAGCTCATAATCATGAAGTACTGTGCTCTTCAAATACAACATGACACATTTTAAAGACTTTCAGGACTGAACAAATTGACATCTTCTTTTAATATGATACAAATTTTTTTAATGTTTTATCTTTAGCATTCTGGCCAATTCTTAAGTATCTTCATGAATCTCAACACTAGCAAGACTTACATTCTTCCGTGAAACTTCTTCCAAATTTTTAACAGAATAATGCATACCTACTATCCCTGGGGAATACCAAGTATTAAGAATAAGCATAACTACTCATTTTATTTGCAAGCAAGAGAAGTTTAGTTAATGATACTAAGCACAATAAGCATACCTTTAACATGATGAACCAAGGACACAATGTGTTGTATAAATGACTCTGAAGTGCTTTTGCTGGCCTGAGGCAACTTAATGTGGTCAAAGATGGATCGGAATTCTTGCTCCTTCTTGACGGAATGGACAAGTGTACTAGCAAGTAGCCTGTCTTTAGTCAAGGAAGCAGGTCTGGAATATATAAATAAACACACACACAAAATACACCATTGGTTTTCATTTGAAAGTTGATGTTCAGAAAATAAGCTTTCTAGCCATAGATTTACTTACTGGGCATTAATGTGGAATTACCTGTTAGAATCATCAAGAGGAACAGGTGCCATTTTGAGTTTGACTTCCGGACGATGAGAATCACTGGCTATCATTTTGATTCTAAGTGGACTCTCCTCTCTGAAGGTAGTCTTTTCTCGTGCATCCGGATTCTTGTGTAGAGGGGGACTGTAATCAAAGAGGTCTTTGAGCTTTTCAGACTTTACCTGCTCAGGTGACTGAGTTTCTTTCTTTACTGTTATTCTTTCAGAACTTTTGTCTTCTTCCTTGTGCTTATCTTTTGCAGTGCTAGGCCTTTCCACTATGTATCCAGTCTCTTTAAGTTTGTAATTTTTTTCTTCTCTAAATCCATCACTTTCTCTATTGCCTTTCAGCGAAACTTTGGACTTGTACTTGGGTCCTTCCTCCTCAGTATTCCGATGAGACGTAGTAGCAAAATTTTTACCCTGATCTGCAAGGACTGACTTCCTAAACTGTCTATAATCCTCTGTCTCCTCTGTGTCATCCCCTTCTGAATCATTAAACTTTTGTTTTCCAGACTCTTTATCACTGAAGTAATCTAGAACTTCCTGATCTTCCCATTCTCCCTCTGCCCTCCCTTTCTCTGATCCTTTTTCCTTTGGAGCCTCTTTATCCCTGGTATTACCCCTATCAAGCAGGAATACTCTAGACTCTTCATCTGTGAACCTGTGAATAAGCAAAGAAGAGGATAGTAACTCTGGATTGCATTCATTGTAATCACCTGCATACTATAATGTATTATCCACTACCACAGGACCAGAAATGAGAGAAAATAACCTTAATGAAAGTGTTTTTTCAGATTCTACTTTTAAAAATTTTTTTAAATCCATATGAAAATTATGAACTTTCAAAATAAATTCATTATACATGAAATTTAGAAATAAAGTCATCCTCAAAACTCACTCTATTTAGCTGACAATTCTATAGTAAAAATCCAAATTTCTAGAGATGCTCTGATATATAACACAGCCTAAATGTTACTTCTGAGGCTAAAAGTCACTAATAGACTGTATAACCATCCATTAGAATCCTGCTTAGAATTATACTTAGTCTCAGACTATTTCACTTCTCAAGTGTCAACATAAATGAGCTCACACAAGTGGACTTTCGTAATGTTACTTAATACTCTTTTTCTGAATCACAAAACATTTCAATATAAATTTTGTTCTAGAAAATATTAAGAGGAATCATTCCAATAAAAAAAATTAATTCTAGGTTGCACAGTACTATACCATCAACAACATGCTTGTATTTCTTCACTTTAGGTCAATCATACAAGATTAGCATTGTTTGTTAGCAACTCTCTGCAATACTAGAAGTCAGAACTTAAAGTAACCATTTAAATGCCACTTGAGTCAGTGAGAAACACAATCATTTCAAAGTCAGGCAGAATTTATTAAATATTGACAAGATGGACTGTTTACGATACCACACAAGATGTACATTCTGTATATCACACTAATAAAGGGAAAAAAGCTTCCAATAATCTAACACAAAATTAACTTCTGTAAGTACTTATGGTTTTTAATATGAATCATAAGTTATGCTTTATGCTATTCAATTTCTCATTATTTGTAATTGTTAACTCTGGACTGACTAAAAATGGAAAACTAAAAGGAGGAATATGAATTACTAGAACACTTTATCTTTCAAAGTTTATCCTCAGTAAAAACAATTTAGAATCATCCCATAAAGTAGGAAGTAATGAGTAAAACAGCTAAATAGCATCATGATGCTATTTTTGAACTATTCATATTACAGCCTAAATTCCCTACTTTAGTTCTTACCTTTTTAAGAACTTTCCAGTCTTTGCAGTTTCCTGATCTCCTCCATCAGGATAAAATGAGGAGCGTCCCCTAGACTCATCTCTCGGAGCATTCTGTGGTGTGATTGTCTTTGCAGGACTTCTTCGTGAAGGAATATGATGAATTGGACTATTCTGGGAAGGACTATACCGACTAGATCCATTTCCAACAGAACCAGACCCAGATCTTTCAGGACTATGCTGAATGGAATGTGAATGCTGAGAGGGGGTATTTTTTGCAGAGTGGACTGTACTAAGCATGGGGGCATCTGAACAAGATGAACTCTGACTAGGTGGTGTAGCAATAGGTGAAGGACTATGAGGTGATCTGGGACTATTATCATAAGCTGAAAGGCCAGGCCAAATATCACCAGATGTTGCTGATTTATTAAACTCATCAATAGATTCAGATGGATCATGTTCAAATGTATCTTTTGGTTCCTCCTGTGATTTATTTTTCAAAGGACTCTCTTCTTGAGGTTCCCCTTCAGCTTTTTTGGTTTGTTTTTCCTGAGACCCTCGTCTTTTAGAGACAGGAGATTTGCTATAGGGGGATGAAGAACGAGATGATGATGATCTTGGAGACCTAGAAGATCTGTATGACCGACGAGATCTGCTTCGGGATCTTTGAGAAGAAACAGATCTTCTTTTTGGACTCCGGGAACGTGAACGACCCCGTCTAGGACTCCTAGAGTGCCTTCTATTCCAGACAGGTCTATAACCACCTCGATGGTATCTACCTCCTCCTCCTTGATAATAACCTCTACCCCTTCCTCTGTACCCATAAGGTCGTCTCATTCCTCTATTATTTCTGTAATCTCGACGATAATCTCTAGAATAAATACGATCTCTACTACGAGATCTTGAGTACGTCCTGGAACGAGACCTAGAACTAAAAATGAAATAAATATCAATGTGAGAAAAATAAAGCATTTCCTCTACCACTCTAAATACATCTGGTTGAATATAACATCAATTTTCAAAGATAAAACTGTATATTTTAAAACTTCATTTGTAGAAAAGTTTACTATTTCTCATTTAAAAAATAAAAACTTCACTTCTGAGGCAAATATTAAGACTAAATTAAATGCCCAAGGAAAGAATACACAAAAAATGGGTGAAGGGGATAGATACCAACACATCCAACCATAAAATGTATTAGCAAACTACAGTACATCTAAGCTGGCCCTTAAAGTGAGACTGTAAAACAAAATTGGAATGGTGTATCATGTATTTTAAATAAGGAAAAAGTTTACACAGTATCAAATAGTGAAATGCCACTGGTATTCAGCAAAGTTAGGCCTAGAAAATAAATGCAGAAAAATCATAAACTAGAATTCTCAAAGAAATTATAGCCACTCTTATTTTTAACGTGTGGCTTTTTGTGCTAGGCATGTATTACTATTAAAGAAAAACAAATAGTTAATCATTTTTCAATTAAAAAATGCAATTATTCTTTAAAAAATAAGCAGTGAAAGCTATTGGACAATACACAGAGATTGTTCAATGCCAAATTAATTCTTACACATCATCAATTCATCTCTTAACATTATAGAAAATGCAAAGAAATCCATATTAACATAATATAGTAAGAATCTCAGATCTGGAGTCAGACTCATTAGACTCAAAACCAAGCTCTGCCATTTACTAGGTTGCAACTTGGGACAATTTCCAATTTCTCCAGCTCTAAAATGAGTGTAACAATAAATACATTTCACAAGGTTCTTTGGGAATGAAATATTAGTGGTTTTATCATTATATCTGTATATAGCCAATAATCTATTCGCTGATAAGCATTATCATTAAAGAATTAAAGGCACATTAATTCACCTGTATCTCTTCTTTCTAGAGTGTGATCTTGATCTTGATCGAGAACTAGACTGTGATCTAGACTTTGATCTTGAAGAATGTGATCTAGAATTGGAGCGACCCATTTCTTTTCTCCTAATCAAATGAAAGAGCAAAGAAAGGTTAAAATCAACACAACTGACAAAGTTTCACTTTAAATATTTACTTATTTTTAGATATCAACTGGAACTTAAAAATAATTATCATTCTTTCAAATAAATATTCAGCAACACAGGCTAATTATCCCTGAGTAAACTTTATTTTCATCTGACAGGTACTATAATCTGAAAGCAACAAAACATTTCAAACCAAGATTTGTGTTGGGCATGTTATTTCATGCCCAACACAAATATCTCTCTTGTAAAACAGAAATTATATTAAGAGTACCAGAGATAGGAAACCTGAAACAAAGAAAATGTAAGTGGCACAATACTAAAAAAAAAAAAAATAAGCCTATCAAACTGTCGTCATACTGCTTTATGGCCTTCACATGGAACTAAATTGACCATTCCATATATACAATACTGCTTTGAGTGGAACTGGACAGTTTCCCAGTAGAATAAAGGCCACTAAGTCTCAAAACACCTGGAGCTAGTTCTAGTTCACTATGTAGCTTGCTGGCAAGATGAACAAGGATAAATGATAAAGGAACAAGAGATTACTACATGAAATAGACAAAAACGAGCAAAACCAAAACCCCTCAGGCACCAGCATTTTAACTTTTCTAAACACTTGTTTATGTGATGCTATAATTAGACCTCAATGGTTACTGAAATCACTTAAGTCAGTACTGATTTATGAAATTTACTCTTCACAAAATTAAAATAACTTAAAAATATATGGCAAATAATTCCATGTGTACACCAAAAATCACATTTTTAACTTTTTAGTGATTTTTAAGACTAGACAGTCTTAGGCTCTTATTATTCTTGCCATATGCACTCAGAGAGAGGTTTGGCATATTGATCTTCAACGAGTGGAAAATCCCCATCACATTTAATTCCCCAAAAACTTTACAAATAGCATGCTGTTGACCAGAATCCTTACATACAACATAATCAACACATACATTGTAGTGATATATAGATACTATTAAAAGTATGCAGGGGCAGGAAAGAGAAATGACCCAAACAATATATGCATATGTGAATAAATGAATTAAAAAACAATAAAAACAAAATAAAATAATGCAATACAAAATTCACTGGAGAAACAAAATGCTTACAAGAGGATGATAGCATCACAAGGTATGCATTTTAAGTTAACAGCACAACACTTGAGTTTACCACAAAATGAAGCTGGTTATGAAATTATTATAGTAGTACCATATGAACTAGTGAGTTTCATGCAGCTATGGTTTAATTCTGCATTCATTAGTTTATTATATTTTTGAATTAGTATACATTGGTATTACAGGGAGTTTTGTGTATTAATTCCATGTATGCCTACAGTGTACTTTAAACAGGTTCATCTATTATATTCCGATTTTCCTCTTCCTCCTTCCTCCCTTTCAAACAATGTTTGGTGGGTTTCATTATAATGTCTTCATATATTGGGGGGGGAGATGAAGCAAGAGGGAGAGAGAGATACTTCAATCTTCTCAGTATCTTTTCCTTTCCCCTCCCCTTCAGTCCCTCCTCCAATCTGTCCCTAGTTCAATTTCATGTCATACTATCATCATCATTTTAGTTCTAGGTCCTACAAATGAGCAAGAAAATGTGATATTTGGCTTTGTGAGCTTGGCTTATGTCACTCAACTCAATCTCCATACCTCACTCAACTCAATCTCAAGGTCTATCCATTTTTCCGCAAATTACATAATTTCCTAACGCTGCACCTTTACATTTGTTTTCATTTCTCTCAACTACAAATGGAACCATGGAGCATCTGTAAGGTGTGTTAAGTTTTAACTTTTTATGATAGATTTGTGTATATTCCATACTGGTAAAGATTATCTAGCTATCTTTTATGCCTTCATTACATACTTAGCCTTTTTCTATTATTTTTTCCATTACTTCTAGGCTATATGGTTTGTCTATCACAAATCTCTATAACCATCCACGTAAAGTGGATCCGCCAAATTCAAAGCTGTGCTGTTCAAGGGTCAACTGTGAACTAGTTCCAAATTTCTGCTAACTTAGTACTCAAAGTAATTAATTCCATAAAAATAAACTGACTAAACTAAGTTAGTCATATTTCTTCTACAACTAAGCTTTTCTTTCCCCTTTGCAGGACTAGGGATTGAATTCAAGGTTTCACACTTGCTAAGCAAGTACTCTACCACATGAATCACACCCCCAGTCCACAATTAAACATTTTTAAAGGCATTTATTTTACCTAATTAGTTTTTGGTTATAAAATAGTAATTGGCAGTACTAAGATGAGTATAGAACAGTAACAATATAGAACACAAGTATATGTTAATGAACAAATGACTACCTTTTTCTCCTTTCATCTCAATCTCAAGTAAACAAGAAAACATAAAGATAAAAGTAAGAAAATAGGTTCAGGGTTCAAAAAGGTAGAAGAGTAAAAATACCTATGAAACAAATTCAACAGGGTGATCTACTACCCCATAGAACACAAGACAAATCTGGCTTAGCAAATTATGTGATTTTGACAATGTAAGGAAATGGTAAAAATCACAATTACAAACCAGATATGGTAGCAGACACATATAATACCAGCATTTAGGAAACTGAGGCAAGATGATCACTACTTTGAGGCCAGCCTGAGATATACAGCAAGACTGGCTAAAGAAAATTTACTGCCTGCAACATTTTAGTGCTATTTGATTTCAAAATACCGCCCTTCTCAAACCTGTGAATAATTTTGGAAATCCCAGTAACAAAGCAAGATCTGTTTTCCTGGTATTGATCAGTAAGTAAAGAAACACTTTCAATTTGTAGGTTCTGCACTATGCACGTATCTCTAGAATCTCTAATCCTAGTTCTTCACGGTTTTTTTTCTATTAAGTGATTCAGGAATTTTATAGGCTTTTCCAGTCCAAAACACAAGATCAATAACAGAGTCTTGATTAAGAGAATAAAGTCTCTCAAGACTGCAGTCTACTCAACCATGTACTTTTTTAACAACGTATGAACAGTGTTACATATGGAACCATTAGTTATGGACTATTCGTTATACTGAAAACTTGGGTAAGGCAAGGACAACATCCCTTGTCTTATTCGTTCAAATGATACAGCACCAGGATATAGCACAGCTCGTGAGTTAAATTCAGCAGGTATTTCATATCTGTTAGATGTATTCCCCAGAACCTATATTTTTCTAAAGCAACAAGTTTATTATTTTGGGGAAGGAACAGGTGGTACCGGGTTTAAACTCAGGGCCTTAATATTGCTAAGCACTCTACCCCTTGAGCCACTTCACCAGCCCCTAAACAAGTTTATTTTCAGGTTAGGTTCTTTTTTGTCCTCATTTTTTTGTTGTTTTGTTTTGTTAAGTATCAAACCCAGGGCCTTGTACATTCTAGGCAAGTATTCCGCCACCAAGCTACATCCCAAACCTTTGCTCTGTCTTTAAATACACACCTCAAACTTCAAAATAAGTGATAAGAAAGCATACCTATCTAATAGTTGTTAGTCCAAAAGAAACTTGGATTGATATGGTTCTTCTCTCCTTCTACAAAATACACTTGGGTAAAGGACGCTAAATACATGGCTTGATGCATTCAAATCTAGGCACAGTTACAGGGAACTAAATGAATTAATAAATGTACTACAATGTTTGACACATAAGTAAGCAATTAATTTTAATGACCTTAGCACCAAAGTATAGGAAATACAGTTAGGGTATGGAACTCCTCTTGAAATGGCTTGGTGACTATACCAAGATTAACTCAAAATGGATCAAGGATCTTAATATCAGACCCCAAACTCTTAAGTTGATACAAGAAAGAGTAGGAAATACTCTGGAGTTAGTAGGTATAGGTAAGAACTTTCTCAATGAAACCCCAGCAGCACAGCAACTAAGAGATAGCATAGATAAATGGGACCTCATAAAACTAAAAAGCTTCTGTTCATCAAAAGAAATGGTCTCTAAACTGAAGAGAACACCCACAGAGTGGGAGAAAATATTTGCCAACTATACATCAGACAAAGGACTGATAACCAGAATATACAGGGAACTTAAAAAACTAAATTCTCCCAAAACTAATGAACCAATAAAGAAATGGGCACGTGAACTAAACAGAACTTTCTCAAAAGAAGAAATTCAAATGGCCAGAAAACACATGAAAAAATGCTCACCATCTCTAGCAATAAAGGAAATGCAAATTAAAACCACGCTAAGATTCCACCTCACCCCTGTTAGAATAGCCATCATCAGCAACACCACCACCAACAGGTGTTGGCGAGGATGGGGAAAAAGGAACCCTCTTACACTGCTGGTGGGAATGTAGACTAGTACAACCACTCTGGAAAAAAATTTGGAGGCTACTTAAAAAGCTGGACATCGATCTACCATTTGATCCAGCAATACCACTCTTGGGGATATACCCAAAAGACTGTTACTCCAGAGGCACCTGCACATCCATGTTTATTGCGGCACTATTCACAATAGCCAAGTTATGGAAACAGCCAAGATGCCCCAGCACTGACGAATGGATTAAGAAAATGTGGTATCTATACACAATGGAATTTTATGCAGCCATGAAGAAGAACGAAATGTTATCATTCGCTGGTAAATGGATGGAATTGGAGAACATCATTCTGAGTGAGGTTAGCCTGGCTCAAAAGACCAAAAATCATATGTTCTCCCTCATATGTGGACATTAGATCAAGGGCAAACACAACAAGGGGATTGGACTATGAGCACATGATAAAAGCGAGAGCACACAAGGGAGGGGTGAGGATAGGTAAGACACCTAAAAAACTAGCTAGCATTTGTTGCCCTTAACGCAGAGAAACTAAAGCAGATACCTTAAAGCAACTGAGGCCAATAGGAAAAGGGGAACAGGTACTAGAGAAAAGGTTAGATCAAAAAGAATTAACCTAGAAGGTAACACCCACGCACAGGAAATCAATGTGAGTCAATGCCCTGTATAGCTATCCTTATCTCAACCAGCAAAAACCCTTGTTCCTTCCTATTATTGCTTATACTCTCTCTACAACAAAATTAGAAATAAGGGCAAAATAGTTTCTGCTGGGTATTGGGGGGGGGAGAGGGAGGGGGTGGAGTGGGTGGTAAGGGAGGGGGTGGGGGCAGGGGGGAGAAATGAACCAAGCCTTGTATGCACATATGAATAATAAAAGAAAAATGAAAAAAAAAAAAAAAGAAATGGCTTGGTGTGTTCTGAGTCTTTCAGAAAAGTTCTCAGCAGTGGAAAAAGCAAACACCAACCTAGAAGCAGGAGAGATGAAAAGCATCTTTTTTCCTAAAAACTTAAAGTCTAACTTCATACACGGTTTAAACACACACATACACACACACAAATTCAGACAGCATCACTATTTTGGCGGTACTGGGGTTTGAACTGAGGGCCTTAAAACCAAAAGAGAGGAAGTAAAGTTAGGTTATGGAACCCCTCATGTAAGCATTACAGAAGATAGTTAGGTAGTGTCTTGGGCCAAGCATGATGGCACAGGCCCAAGGCTTGCTACGCCAGCACTCTACTATTTGAACCACACCCCAACTCTTTTTGCTTTCATTTTATTTTTAAGGTAGGGTCTTGACTTTGCCCTGGAGCTGGTCTGGTACCTGGATCCTCCCATTCTGTCTCTTAGACCATGTCATTTTTAGCCTCTAGATCTGGATTATTAGTTCAGCAGTCACATTTTCTCAAAGTCAAAACTGAAAACTAAGAAAATAAATGCTAGTTACCTTGGGCTTTATGCAGGATCCAGAAGTCAGTGAAGTCTTTGAGATACTATAAAATTCTTCTTTAAGAGACTGTTCTGAGAAATCAAATTCCTAGCAAAATCAAAAAATAAGTTGTTTGTGGTAAACTAAATATGAACTATTTGTAATACATATATTGGTCAAGGCAATAAATAAAGGTACTTGGCATTCCAGGGAAGGGGAAACTGATTTAGGAAACAGTGAATTTTTAACCATAAAACATTTAACTAAGCTGGGCTGGGTGGAACAATGCTTTAATCCCAGCACTTGCAAGGCTAAGCAAGAGAATCAAGAAATGAAGGCCACGAGTCTTTACTCCAAGTTCCTGCCTGGGGAGCAAGAAATATTTCTTCCTTTTTTCTCATTTCTCTCCACTTTCATCCTGTTACAGTAAACATTCCTTTCCTAATTTAAAAACTAAAAAAAAAGGACTCAATGTCACACTGAGCTATTCAATAACACCAAAAAAATTTTTTTTACCTTTTTATTCACAATGCAGCAGTGCATCACGTCACTGACAGCAAGGTAACTTTTTGACTTAGGTACCTGAATTCTAATTTTAGCAATTTGGGCTTTAGAAAAGAGAAGATATGCTGTTATCAGAAATTCCAAAGTAGTTAACAATGCTATATTGGCATATGAAACTATATCATGTAACCTGGAGTTAATATTCATTAACACTATAATGTATAAAATGTGAGCTTAATGTTCTTATTCTCTCGACACTTCTTACGTGGTTCGGTTTCATCTAAAACTTTTAAAATTCCTAACAGCGTCCCACTAACGCTAAACTATATGCCTAAAACTATTTTCATATACATACATTCAAGTAATAACAATAAAACAAGTATCTGTTGAGAGACAGTATCTGTCCTGTGCTAATTAACCATTACTATGTAAATAAATTTGGTTCAAAATATTAAGCAGTTATCAATAGTGAAAAGGTTAGCTTTGTGTATTTAGTGATTACCGCTTATATGCAAAACACTCACAAGAGCAGAAATTAACCTAAGGAATACAAGAATGATATACACTAACACTCAAAAAATTCACAAACAAGCTTACATGACTCAAATATGTATTAAAAGTAAAATATGTACTTTACCAAGTAATGATCCATTTTTTAAATGCAATAATATTGGAAATACAAAAAAGAAATGTTAAGATTACACTGGTGAATCAAGAATAGCATCCCCTAAATAACCATGAGCCTCTAACTGGGAAGATTAGGAGACTTAAGGTTCAGACTAGAAAGGAGAAGGTAGGAACCTAGTAATTACAGATAACATACTGAAACAAAAAAAGCTTGGATACAGAAATAAAAAAGACTCCTCTAAAGTCCTTTTTATTTTTGGTAGTCAAAAAACCCCAAATGAGCTGAGAAAGAAACTAATCTTCTAAATGTTACTGTTATGAAACTTTATTCTGACCTGTAAATCATTTTCACTGAGTTCACTGCTGAAAATAAAACAAGAATTGTTTTAGCTAGTACTTCCTCACAACATTTCCAAAAAAAGTTAGTATCACTTCTACAGTCAGAGAAAAATCAACTGCCAAGTCTCTCTCATACTCCAAGTCATCATTTTTTGAAGTTCCAAGAAAATATACACTAGAAGTAGAAAAGAGAGGAAGGACTGTAGCCTGTTGGGACCAGTGGCTACATGTTCTTGCTCACAATCTACAAATACATCCAAGTATCTGAACCAACAACTCAAATGTGACATACAACAATCAGCAACAACTATTAATGGTTCACCTATTTTTAAAATAACAGTCTGTATACAAATACAAAGTACTATGCTAGCCTATGAAAAACATAATTATACAAAAGGTCCCTGCCCTCCAAAAACCAACTAGAAAGGAACAGTTATCTATCAGCAAAAAATCTCATAGAAAACTAAACATCTAAATATCAACCATGTGCCAAAACTATGCTAAGTGACTTGAAACAAAATCACTTTTAATCCTGCTAATCTCTTGAGTTATACTTGATCCCATCTTTCAAATGAACAGGACTCTGAACTTTCACAATATGTACTATATTCCTATTACATGCCAGGCATTATCATCCCATTCTTGGGAATAAGACATTTTAAGTGAGACTTAAATTCTCTGGGAGCATCTAGTGAGGGCAAGACAGAAATAAAAAAGAAAACATCAAATAGTGTCAAGTACCACACTGAAGGGGGGGGGATGAATGTGTGACAACTTAGGTGAGTCTTTGCACCCTCTTTCCCCTCCCCCCCAGTATTGGGGTTTGAACTCAGGGCCTACACCTTGAGGTACTCCATTATCCCTTTTTGTGATGTGTTTCATGAACTATTTGCCCAGGGTGGCTTCAATCCTCCTGGATTTCTACCTCCTAAGTAGCTAGAATTACAGTGCCCTCTTTAAAGGCGAAAGAAAAGGAACACTCACTAATCCAGGGCATTATTAAGCATTTATGAAAAACTGCTTAATAAAATAAGCATTTTATTAAGACATTTATACAATAAAATGTGTGGGATTTTCCTTTAAAATACTCCACAAAAGCTAGAGGTGTAGCTCAGTTGGTAAAGTACCAGCTTTGCAAACATGAAGCCCTGAGTTCAAACCCCAGTCCCACCAAAACAAAAAAATCCTCCACAAGAAGGTAAATAATATTGAATAAGATTGGCAAAATTCTGGTAATTATTAAACCTAGATATGAACATGGGATTTCACTACACTGTTTTACTTTGTACTTGAAATTTTCCACAATTAAAAGCTTCTAAAAAAGAATTAATCACAATTTTTTAGTTTAGTCCAGCATATTTTTACTTTGCTAAAATAAAGAACATGGAAATGAGAATCAATACCTAAGCTTTCTACCTTTTTTGGCCTTTATGTAAAAAATCAAATAAAATTAATGTGTTTGAAAACTCCAAATTACTACAAGAATGTAGGTTAGTACTGTTATTACATGTCAGTAGCCTGCATTGTTTTCCTGAGGTAATACTGATGACTACTGTCTAAACTGGATGTAATAATTCAACGACAGTCTACCATTTACACTTACTAACCAGAGCTATGTTAGTCTTCCTGATCCCTTATCTAATTTGTTAAACAGTAAGCCACTGAAACTTGCACAACCCAATTCCGCTACAGTTCAAGTAATGATTTCAAATACAGTTTCCGGGAAATCTCAATTCCAACGTACACACAGACCTCAAAGTCTTCTCATCATAGTTAATCTACCCACACTAAGTTGTTCAATAAATTCAACCCAGCTCCGAACCTCTGAGCTCTGAACATCAGTGAGCAGTACTTTGATGGTATTGGAGTTGGAATTTGAACTAGGGCCTTGCACTTAGCTAAGCAAGCATTCTACCACTTGAGCCCCGCCTCCACCTCTAAAGAGCAGTACTGTTCAAAAGTATGTAGCCAATTCTAAAATACTATTGCTCTTTTAAGGCAAGAATCAGTTCTTGGACTAGAGGTGTAGTTCAACTGGTAGAGTACCTCTCCAGCAAGTGCAAGGCCCCGAGTTCAAACCCCAGTACCATCTAAGAATCAGATCTTGCTGAACAAGTCTCCTGAGCCACCATTTTAATTATCTGAATGAAGGGGAACTCCAGTGTTCCTCACAATGTAAGTATCAAATACTTAAAACAAGAGGCTACAAACCACCATTAGACAGGCTTTAGGTCATTTACCCTGAGCTACTGTGGACACATAATTCTTCCCATCAAATTATCCTGGATTAGACAGGCTCCACAAAATGCGAATGAACTGGTAGTTCTTTCCTACGTGAATGTTCCTTAGTGCCTGAACAATAACCTAACTATTCCAATTAGAATTGAATTAGAATAAGAAATCGCATTAAGGATTTTGTTCTGCTTTTTAAAACATGTATGTTTAATAGACGCAACGGCAATTAAGACACAATTCTAAAGCAGCTAATAGTTTTCCATAGTTTTGGCCACACTTCCTTTCTACTTTAGCTTTTTTCAATTTTAAACACTAGAAGATAAAAGTTATCTAGAAAAGTCTTAAAAGTGAACAGAACCAACCTATGGGTTAAAAATGAGGGCAAAAAGCCGGGCACAGTGGTGCACAAACGTAATCCCAGGCAAGATGGCAGGAGCTCAAGGCCAGCCTGGGCTACCCAGGAATAGACCCTGTCTCAAAAAAATAAAAGAAAAAGAAAGGAAGGAGGAAGGAAGACCAAAACACAACAGAGGGCAAACTCACAACCTCAACTCACTACTCTCTCTCCCGTCTGCCCCAACCGCGGCCGCAACTCGTGTGAAGACGCGGAACGGGCTCCAGCACTTGCCCAAAGGGGCCGGCTTCGCTCGAGCCCGCGTACGGCAGGGCGAGTCCCGACGCGACCCGCGCACTGAAAGCGCGAGGCAGTACCGACTTCACGAGTCCACAGCACGTTCGCGGCAAAACAGACCGGGTTGCTAGGGGACCAAGATCAGCACTGGAGAAAACTCCCGCGACACCAGGGGCCGCAGGCAGGCTCAAAAGACAGCAGAGCAGGAGCCCAAACCTGGGTAGGGTCAAGTCACAAAAAGGAGGCCTAAAATCGACGGGCCGCCTACCGCGGGGAAGAGATTAAAGACGACGGGAGAGGGGGCCGACCCACCTACTGCACTTTGTTGCAGGTTAATTATTTTATCGAAATCCCAAAAGCCGGAAAGAAAAGGTGGAGGTGGGAGCCCACCAAAGGCGGACGCGAACAGACCCCCACGCTCGGCAGCGCCGCCGAACGCGGGTGAAAGAGAAAGGAGGCAGCGCGCGTGCGCACAGCACTCCGGCGGGCGCGCGCAGGGGTCGGGGCCCAAGAAATGGGGGAAGGGCTGAAGAGGGAGGTTTGCGCACGGGCACGCCAAGGCCGCGCGGCCTCAGGACCTCGAGCCAGGGTTGCAGCCACGCGCGCGCTCCGTTCGCACGGCTCACCTACCCCCACCCCCCCCACCTTTTCAACCCGTGGTGCCTCAAAACCCAGAGGAAAGCTGACGAAAAAACGCACAAATAACGGCGCAACGTCTCCTGGGTTCTCTCACAACCGCCAACCCGTCACCACCCAAAAAAGGAGTTAACGATAATCATCCGTCCTCGGATACCCATGGCCATTTGAGTAACTTAAATGCAGCACAAGGCCTACCTGACACGCCAAAACACGATTCCCGGGATTTATCTCCGTTGTAACTACACAGCGGCCATTTCCCGACTCGAGAACGAGAGGAAAAAAACCATAGATGTAGCTTCGACGCGCTAGCTCGTCTCCGTCACTTCCGATTTGGGGCGTGGCCTCGGGTGCCGCTAAATATCTAGGCAAGCCCCGCCCACCCTTCCGCCCTAAACTGGCTCCCAGGCCGCTATTAAGATATTGCCCTGAGGCTTTCTGGGAAGTCTCGTGGCTGATCTCGCGCGAGGATGTGGCGTCTCTTCCGTCCGGCTGGTAGCGGCAGCCTCCGCTAGGATGGCTGTAGATTAAAAAAGTGGGGTGGGTGTCTCGCTAGTCCTTGAAGGTGCCTGGCTCCGCAGTGGGACTCGCCAGCGTCCCTGCCCTGTTTTGAGCTGACAATCGCCCCTGTGCTCTGCTAGAGTGAGCTTGTCTGGGCCATTCTTCCTGTGGGGTCGGCTCGGAGAAAGTCAAAAACAAAAAGGCAGACTATACACGGCTCCCTCCACCGTGGAGCGCCGCGTTTCTTCGCGAGCCCCTAACTGCTTAGCTATTACTTGTGGCGGACGCACTTAGATGGTGAAAAAGGCCACAGTCTAAACCCTTTTCTCAGCGGAATCGACGCCGCGGCAGCGGGCAGTCGTGTCATATGATGCGGGCTTCCTT